ACTGCTATGCCATGACGTTCGAAACATTTATTATTGCTGTCCTTTCTCGGCTATCTGCACTATAGTTAAGATGCGCATCAGTTTTACAATAATTTGGTGTCCTGTGTTAAGACTATGAGTTCAACGCATTTTAAAAATACTAATTTCATCTCATTTAGAATGTTGGCGGATCATTCATGTTAGCCTTTGAAACGGAAAATCAAAGTAAGTCTAAAACTAATGGTAGTAAAATGTCAGCATGGATTTCAAGCGTTCAATAGTCGTTTGGAATCGGCCTTTTTAAAATCTGTTATTGCGCTTATTCTTCATTCATTGTAAAACGGTTTCCAAAGGCAACAATAATGAAGCTTTACTTTCGCCCAAACTTTATTTGGGGAAATTGTTGGCTCTTGAGGTTTTAAACGTGACGAACCAAATGGACCTTTTTACCGATACGGCGGCCATTTTGAGTTGCATTGTTTTATATAGCTATTATGGATGCTTAGGGTGCAAAGTAGTATATAGTTACCCCCTAAGCATCACATAATAACTATCTGAAACAATGAATTTCAAAATTGCCGTCAAGTCGGTAAAAAAGACTAGTGCTCTATCCAAACTGGAAGATTTTCTGCTTCTTTTCACTTTTTTGCAATTATNTTGCTGTCCTTTCTCGGCTATCTGCACTATAGTTAAGATGCGCATCAGTTTTACAATAATTTGGTGTCCTGTGTTAAGACTATGAGTTCAACGCATTTTAACAACATTAATTTCATCTCACTTAGAATGTTGGCGGATTATTCATGTTAGCCTTTGAAACGGAAAATCAAAGTAAGTCTAAAAATAATGGTAGTAAAATGTCAGCATGGATTTCAAGCGTTGAATAGACGTTTGGAATCGGCCTTTTTTAAAATCTGTTATTGCGCTTATTCTTCATTCATTGTAAAACGGTTTCCAACAGTCAACAATAATGAAGCTTTACTTTCGCCCAAACTTTATTTGGGAAAATTGTTGGCTCTTGAGATTTTTAACGTGACGAACCAAACGGACCTTTTTACCGATACGGCGGCTATTTTGAGTTGCATTGTTTCATATAGCTATTATGGGAATCTTAGGGTGCAAAGTAGTATATATTTACCCCCTAAGCATCACATAATAACTATCTGAAACAATGCAATTCAAAATGGCCGTCAAATCGGTAAAAAAGACTAGTGCTCTATCCAAACTGGAAGATTTTCTGCTTCTTTTCACTTTTTTGCAATTATACGTATGCGAGGTTTTACGAAGAAGTGAATGAAGGAGTGATAGACATGTACTACTTCATCCTCGTTCACTGTCTGATTGACGGCAAAAAAAGATCATCCTCCTCCTTACGCGTTTTCTTTACTCTTGATTTTCATCTTAGA